ACCTCACCTGTCCTAACCTCACCTGTCCTACCCCTCACCTGTCCTACCTCTCACCTGTCCTACACCTCACCTGTCCTACCCTCACTTGTCCTACCCCTCACCTGTACTACCCCTCACCTGTCCTGCCCCTCACCTGTCCTACCCTCACCTGTCCTACCCTCACCTGTCCTACCCTTCACCTGTCCTACCCCTCACCTGTCCTACCCCTCACCTGCCCTACCCCTCACCTGTCCAACCCTCACCTGTCCTACCCCTCACCCCCTCCATGCACCACACTGGTGGCCCTAAGCCCCTCCACAGACTCACCAATCCCCAGAGGTCTTTGTTCTTAAATTCAGCCAAAACATTCACTCATTCACTCACTCACTCATTCATTCATTCATGGAGAGGTCTTGCTAGGTTGCCTAGGCTGCCTTGAGCTCATGGCTCAAATGATTCTCCTGCCTTAGGCTCCTGATTAGGGGCATGTGTCACCATGCTCAGCCAAGTCAGTATCTTTAAAATGTTTAATTGTGCATACAAACAAGAGAAAGGAAAGATCCGGCAGGCTTGGATTCCTTCACTGTGACAGTAGTAGCTGCGGGTGATATTTCCTCTGGCTTATGTAACCTTGACGCATGGCATGTGTGTGCACAGTTGGACTGAGGCAGCTCACTCACCCTTGCCATCTGCCTGGTGCCTATCAACACTTGCGTTTGCTGCGCCTGTGGCAAGTGAGGGCTGTGGTAGAGTTTGTATAGAGAGAGTGCCTTGTGCCTTGAGCAGGTCTCCATTATGAAAGTCACATGGCTGTCACAGGAGGAAGAGTTTAGAGAGGAGAGTTCTGAGAACTGGGCATTGTGGTGGGAGCAGAGCCTGAAGATGGGAGCTGAGATTTGGTCTTGAGGACGGAAGGAGAGGATGGACGGAGGGAGAGGAGGGATGGTGGGAGAGGAAGGATGGAGGGAGGGGAGGGCCAGAAAGCTTTAGGTGGCAGGATCAGCAGCACTGTGTGACTTTATTAAGGGGTTCCCGGGTAGGAGAGGTGGTGAGGAGGGGGGAAATAAACGCTGAGGTCTGGACTTGTGGGTTTCACTAGTGTGTAGCTATAACCCCCCACCCCCATCCCCACAGGAGACAGAGAGGAGGGCCAGTGCTTAGAGAAGGAGGGAGTGAACTCAGTGCAGGACATTTGATAGGGCACGTGTGGGATGTCTAAACCGAAGAACTAGACAGCGGCTGGGAACTGCAGAACTGTGTGGGAATGTGGATCTAAGAGTCGTCTGTTAGGATGAGCGTGAAGCCGTGGATGGGCTGGAGGAGTGTGGAGGAAGGAGGGGAAGGAGACAGGATCCTGGGGGCCTCCCAGAGGGCGTGTGTGAGCGTGAAGCCGTGGATGGGCTGGAGGAGTGTGGAGGAAGGAGGGGAAGGAGACAGGATCCTGGGGGGCCTCCCAGAGGGCGTGTGTGGGAGCTGTGGTGGGAGAGGGAAGCAGGTCAGATGCTGCAAAGGTTACCCGAGATGCTCTGTGGAGACTGCCTTGGGATCGAGCCGGCTGGCCGCTTTGGTGAGGGGATCTCCGGTGGTAATATAGGAGGAGGTAGGAAATATACAACGCTGGGCCGAGGGGCTGGGGGTTGAATGAGAAAAAGAAATGAAACGGGAAGGAAAGACCATGACTGCTCCCAGGTATGGTGGAGGAGAGCGTTTATGGTAGATGTGACGGAGAATTTAAACAGTGTCAGAGACATCTGTGAGAGCCCAGAGGTGGACATGGCCAGACTGAGCTGGGCCCTGTGAGGGGAGTGAAGGGAACGGGGTGCAAAGGCCTACAGGACAAAGGTACAGAAAGCAGCGGATAACCAGAACGCTACCCAATATAGGGAAGGACCTATATCATGTAAGGGCAACCCAGCCCCCAGGCTGGAGAGTTCAGGGTAGAGTGGGGTCTGCCATCCATACTAAGTAACAAGTAGGGACTGAGGGATGCTGGGAGAACCTGGAGGTCAAGTCTGATTTGATATGTTAAATAGGCACCTCAGCTGCTTGTTTCTGTCCCAGGCTTGAAACCTAACAAGGGCTAAGCACACCACAGGTTGGCTTCCCAGAGGATGGGAGGGTGGTATCCAGGATCGAGAAGTATGTCTTGTGTTTGCTAATTCTGGCTTGAATTTTGTATCCTATTGGAAAAACATATAGGGACAGGAAATAACTGAGTGTGTTCCTCAGGAGGTACCAGCCTTCCTGGATTCTTTGTACTCTGAAAGGAGTGCTTATGCATTTTAATGTGAGGTGCAAATGGACTCCACATTTGCATTTTCCTCAGGTTAAGTATGGCCTCAAGCTTCCACTTAAGACCAATAATTACCTCTGGTTTCAAGTCCCAGTGTGGTTTTCTTACAGTTTTCAATGTTAAGATATTCGCTGTAAACCGGGTGTGGTAGTGCATGACTTTAATCCCAACACTAGGAAGGTAGAGGCAGGTGCACTGGAGGCCAGCCCAGTCGACCTATGGAGCCCCAGGACGGCAGGGCTACAGAGACACTTTGTTTCAAGAAAACAAACTGAAAATAAAAAAAAAAAATCCATCCTAGCCATAGTTTATGCCTTTATTTAGCCTTCCCATGTGGTCCCCCTGAGAGTTTCTGACGTGTAGGTTGGCTTTTATCTGCCTGCATGCCCACGTGACAGGATCGCACCTGCAATGCTGCGCCAGGCTTCCTATGGGACCATCAAGATTGGCACTTACCAGAGCTTGAAGCGATTAGCTGTGGAACACCCAGAAGGTGAGTGGCAACCTGATCACCTTCGGATAATGAGTGGGTTGTTAGTCGCTTTATTCCAGACATTTTGGAACGAGTTTTCAATTATTTGGTTAATTTTCTACCAGTAAGGAACAGACTGGGTACAAAGAGTAAACAAACTGCGCATTCTGAGCTGAGCAGAGGAAGGTATATAAGGAGCTGTTTGTACAAATATTTTACTCATTTGCTCTTTTTTTTAAAGATTTATTTATTTATTATATATACAGTGTTCTGTCTGCACAGCCAGAAGCGGGCACCAGATCTCACTATAGATGGTTATGAACCACCATGTGGTTGCTGGGATTTGAACTCAGGACCTCTGGAAGAGCAGCCAGTGCTCTTAACCTCTGAGCCATCTCCCCAGCCCCCATTTGCTTTTTGTTTGTTTGTTTATTTTTCAAGAAAGGGTTTCTCTTTGTAGCCCTGGCTGTCCTGAACTCGCTTTGTAGATCAGGCTGGCCTTGAACTCACAGAAATCCACCTGCATCTACCTTCCTCAAATGCTGGGATTAAAATCATGCACCACTATGCCCAGCCCATCATTTGTATTTTTAAATATCTTCCTCCCTAGCTCCCTCGGCCCCAACCCACCTCGCTACCTTCTCCCAACATCATGCTCCTTTTGTAACCCAGACTCTAACTTGTGGTGCCACATACTCATGGTGTGAGAGCATCCTCTGCAGTGTGGTCGACTACCAGCAGCCGTACTCTTAAAGAAAAACAGCTCTCACTACCCAACAAGTTGTCAGCTGTCAACAGCTCCTCAGCTAGGAGTTGGACAGTCATTTGTCTTTATGTTCAAAATGCCTAGCTACATGCTGTACTATTTCTGTTTGTCAACTGAATTTTCTAAAATTGCATGAATTATCACCCATTTTCTGGAAAGTGCAGCATGAATACGTGTCTTACTATTAAGAGCTCCTATCGCAGCCAGAGTCTGCAGGATACATCTGAATATTTGCAAGGCAGTTGGACTGCATGTTATCTAGACCAACAAAGATGAACAGTAGATAGTTATTTTAAAATCAATTGCTTGATTCACAGAGCAAATAATTATATTCAGGTGAACAGATAGAGTGTAGTAGGTTACATTATTTATATTGGAGTCATTTACAGCAAAAACGCTTATGTACAAAGAACCAATCACCGTGTCTTTGTTTGTAGATGAAACTCTGCTGATCAATGTTGTGTGTGGGATTCTGTCTGGAGTCATATCTTCAGCTATTGCTAATCCGACTGATGTTCTGAAAGTAAGTTCTAGCTGTATGGTAGGGTACGTTCCACACTTACATACTTTCCAAGTGCTAAGCAGGACTCTCCTGTGTAACACAGAGTCCTCAACACTAGACTCTACCCCATATGCTACAATGTTAAAAGCCAAATTAGAAAACAAAACAAAGCCCAAAAACCTATTATTTCCCAAATGTATTATTTTGTAGCTAAACTATTGACTCTTAAAACTCAAAGGGGCAATAATAACCTAAATACAATTATCACAATGCCTTTATCAAGGAGAACATTATTCCTACAGGTGGAAAAATGGTAAGTTTGCAAGGGGTTAAACAGCTAGCCCGCAGCTGAGTATACTGGGTATACTCTTATTTCTCTATGAGTTACTAAGCAGGACAAAAGAGTTTTCTTTTGGGATGTGTGTGTGTGTGTGTGTGTGTGTGCGTGTGTGTGCGCACGCGCGTGTGCGCGCATGTACGTGTGTAGCCTTGGCTTTCTAGGAACTCAATCAATAGACCTTGCTTGGCTACAAACTTATAGAGACACACCTGTCTCTGCCTCCCAAGTGCAGGAATTAAAGCTATGTGCCACCACTGTTTGGCTCAAAGTCATGTTTACGCTGGTTTCCCCCACGCACCATTAAGTACTAGATGGGTGGTTTTCTTAAGTCTTCGGTGGTGGGGGTGGTAAATGGGCCAGTTTCCTTCTCACGTTGGTTGTTCTTTATGATGATCTGTAGATCCGAATGCAAGCACAGAACAGCGCTGTTCAAGGAGGAATGATAGGCAACTTCATTAGCATTTACCAGCAGGAAGGGACCAGAGGACTGTGGAAGGTGAGCCCATAGAGCAGCACCACGCACGGCTTCTTCCTACCCCTCCTCCTCACTGCAGTTTAACCTAAGTGTCTTCACAGAGTAAGAAGAATGCCGTCTCCTGCCTTTGAAGATTCCCTCTTTCTTAGTTTCTCTGACTATAAAATGAGAACATGAATATCTTGTAGTTTTAAAGTATCTTTTGGTTAATACATATGCAGGGTTTTGTGAAAGCTGAGTTCCTTTTATTTGACGTTTACTTTCTGGTGTTTCAGTTCTTAGAATGTCCCCAGGGTCCCTGTCCCACTGGGTGATTGGCCTGTTCAGTTTCATGTCTTAGGTAAAGTCTGTGTTTAGGCAGGTGCCCATGAAGAGTGCTATTTCCTAGGAACGTCATGACGTAGGACTCATCAGTTCACAGAATAGACCCTAGGTAGACCCTGGTATGATCCCTCAGTGTGACAGAGAAGCTGGAGGATTTCAGGGATGGTTAGTCCTAGTCCCAGGTTGGCCAGAGTCAGAATTGATCGGAGCTTTCGAGTTCTTGCTTGGTGGCCCTTTTCTGCTTTGTCACATCACAGTGCTTCCTAATGGCAGAACTAGTAATGAGTGAATAGAACTGCCCATACCTTGGCCTTGTCTGGAGGGATGCTTAAATCATCATAGAACATGCTATTCATGCTATTCATGTTCTATACAGGGTGTGTCCCTCACAGCCCAGAGAGCAGCCATTGTCGTCGGGGTGGAGCTTCCAGTTTACGACATCACCAAGAAGCACCTGATACTCTCAGGCCTGATGGGAGACACTGTCTCAACGCATTTTCTGTATGTTTATGGATTTTAAAAATTAATACTTTAGGTATGGACAAGCTTAGGGTAAATTTTTGTGTAAGTTTATGGAAGTTTTAGAGAAAGTATAATAGTATTGTATTTTATTTGAAAAATTATAATACAGAAGTCAAGTGTGATGAAGTGAAAGTCTTTGCCTTTACATAGGTACTGTATACCTGTATGTATACAAACTATGTGTTTACAACATCATATGTACTTTATAAACAAATAATGTGATATTTGTATTATATTACTTTTTAAAAAGTGACAACACACCCCAAATATGTTTTCACTTCAGATTTTTTTTTTTGTTTTTTTTTTTTGTTTTTTGTTTTTTTTTTTTTTGGTTTTTCGAGACAGGGTTTCTCTGTGTAGCCCTGGCTGTCCTGGAACTCACTCTGCAGACCAGGCTGGCCTCGAACTCAGAAATCCGCCTGTCTCTGCCTCCCAAGTGCTGGGATTAAAGGCGTGCGCCACCACCACCCGGCTTCACTTCAGTTTTTATAGCTTAGTCATTTTTTATTACTTTTTGTGTTTGTGCCTGCAGAGGTCAGAGGGATGTTAGCCCCAGAACTAGATAGAGTTCCAGGCACTTGTGAGCCTCTAATGTGGGTGCTGGGAATCCAACTTGTATTCTGTAAGAATAATACACTCTCTTAAGTGCTCAGCTATCTTGCCCGTCTGTATTTTTTTTTTAATAGGAGTTACAGGTTATCACATTTGTATTGGCGTATCATAGATCATTTAATCTATGTGACTTGGTCTGGACAGGGACATTTAACCAAGTGTGGAGAGTGTGCTGATTCTCACCACTAGGGGGCGCACTATTCACAACTCTATGCCGCAAACACAGTTAAACCTCAGTGTGAACAGACAACATCCCAAGAAAAGAGTGATCAATTCAGTGTGTGAGGAATGCCTCTGGGAAAACCTCTGAGATGATTGGTGCTGATAAAATAAAACCTGCAGCGAGGTTGGATTTAGTGGAGTTGAGTTTGAACAGAAGTAAAGTTCAGGAGCAGGAGCACTCAGGATGAGAAGGGGTTCAGAGAGCAGCACCTTCAGTGTGCAGGAGTGTCTATGGGCAGAGACATGGAAATGGCGGACAGACGCTCTCCCTGAAGTTCAGCTTGTGATTTTCCAGGAGGGAAAGGGTAACCATTCCATTTTATGTTTTATATAACTCAGCCAGTTACAGAAATTAGGTTACAGTTACGTACATACAGTTATAACATACATACATACATACATACATACATACATACATACAGTTATGTTCACAGGCGGATTTAGGCTAAATATAACTCAGTTTAGCAATGATACTCAGTGTAGCCTATGGTAGTCTAGTGAGACTGAATGTGGTTTGCAACTTTGGGGGTTGTGACCCCTTTGGAGGTTGAACAATCCGAGGTCGCCTAAGACCATCAGAAAAATATAGATATTTACATTCCGATTCATAACAGTAGCAAAATTGCAGTTATGAGGTAGCAACAAAAGTAACGTTGTGGTTGGGGGTCAGCATAGCATGAAGAACTATATTAAAGGGTTGTGGCATTAGGAAGGTTGAGAACCACTGCTCTGTAGAACCTAAGACCACACGGTGAGGTGGTCTAGAGTTTTATTTATTCTTAGGCCTAATTTTTACATGTATGAGTGTTTTACCTGTGTGTGCGTGCCCCAGTCCCACGGGGCATTGAACTGGGATCAGAAGACCTGGAAGAGAGAACTGGAGGACAGGGGACACAAAGAACGAGCGGCTTGTCTATAGTCTGATCAAACTGCTGATTCTAATTTTTTCACACAGGGGTTATATACACATAGAGGCAGGATGTGGGGAAGGGGAATGCCGCAGGAGCGTAAGTGTTCTCAGGGGGAGTACAGATATCTTCCAGAACAAGGTATCAGCTGGGTGAAGAAGCAGGGAACAGGTCACTATGACTCTGTCTATGATTCATTTGTTCTTATCTAAGCTGGTAGTTTCCACCAAGGCTACCTACCCACAAGGTCTATGACTACTAGTTCTTATCCAGGCTGGAAAATTTCCACCAAGGCTTCCTGTTTACAAGAACTTATAGCTATCTGTTTTAGGGTCAGTGTTTTTCCACAGAGACCAAGACTTTGTGTTAGCAAGCATGTATGGCTGACTTAGGCCTATTGCTGATTTTAGGCCTTCACTGTATAAGCACGACTACTCCTGACATGTGTGTGTATGTATGTATATATGTATATGTTTACTGTGTACATGCCTGGTGCCTGAAGAGAACAGGGTACTGGATCCACTGGAACTGGAGTTACAGAGGGCTATGAGCCACTGTGTGGGTGCTGGGTTCTGAATGGCCCAGGTCCTCTGTGAAAACTAGTGCTTTTAACTGCTGAGCTATCTCCAGCCCTATGGACCTTATTCTTGGTGCAGTTCCTGTAGCTCCATATTTGCTTTAAAGGAATTCGGAGAGGAAGCCATCTTGTCTCCCTCCTCTGTAGCTGTAACTGAGTGGTAGCTCACGTCTTGTCTTTCCCAATCCTGTGTTCTCCACAGCTCAAGCTTCACCTGTGGCCTGGTGGGGGCCTTGGCCTCAAACCCAGTTGATGTGGTGAGAACCCGCATGATGAATCAGAGAGTCTTTCGGGATGGCAGATGCTCTGGCTATAAGGGTACCTTGGATTGCCTATTGCAGGTGAGTGAGTGCCTGTGCAGGAGTGAATCTCACACACACACACACACACACACAAACACACACACACTCACACACATACTCACACACACACTCACACACACTCATACATGCACACTCACACATACTACACACACTCACACATATACACACACTCACAACACACACACATACAACACACACAACACACACACTCACATACACACTCACTCACACACACGCTCACACACACTCACACACATACACACACATACACACTCACACACACACTGAAGTTACTACGTTAGAACAAGTATTAAAACTAAGATGAGTGAGCTCATAGAACCCTTGAGCCCTGTTTTATTTATTTTTAGGACAGGGTCTCAATAGTGCAGCCCTGCCTGTCATGAAGTTCTCTGTGTAGACCAGGCTGACCTCAAACTCACAGAGATCCTCCTGCCTTTGCTGAGATTAAAAGCCTGTGCCATCGTGTCTGGCTGGACATACCATTTTGCCACACTAGGGTTGGAAGTCCAAGATCTACATGACATTTTATAAATTAAAGTTCACTTTCCACATGCATCTCCCCTGCCAGGAAGGATGCTAAACTAGTAATATTTTCTGTGGTCATGTAACTGTCCTTTTCCAAAGTGAACCTTTTTCCTCTTGAGTCAAACTGGAATAAATATTCCCATCCAGATGTGTCTCACAGGAGTAAGTGAATCCCACCACAGTTCCCAGCGTAGAGAACTGTTGGGAGCAGAGGAAAGAGTTCAGCTTCCCTGCTAGGTTGCCATTGGCCAAGGCTTAGGGGCACTTTCTAGGTCTCAGATGATGCTAATGCTTCTTAGTCTCCAAGGATTGCTTTGCAGTTTTAGAATTACAGTTTCATCTTTGCTTTAGGATTAGGGTTAGTAATGGCAGTGGTTATTCGTATGTGCATGCAGTCCCATGGCATGATTGTTAGCGGTCAGAGGAGAGCTGAGAGGAGTCCATTCTCTTTCTCCATCATGTGGATTCTGATGATCAAATTCATGTCGGTATGTTTGACAGCAGGTGGCTTTACCTGCTGGGCCTCCCACCAACCTTTCCTTCTTTATTGGAGGCAGGACCCTAATATAACCTTAACTGGCCCTAAACCTGGTAGGTAGCCGAGTATGACCAGGAACTTGTGGTCCTCCTGCCTACACCTCCCAAGGGGCGAGATTATAGGCATGTGCCACCACACTGGGTTTTATGTGGTGTTGGGGAATGAACCAGCTTAGTACCTGCTGGGCAAGGACTGGCCCACCTAAGCTCCACCCTCACTCCTCTGGTATTGCTTTAATGAGACGAAGATAGGAGACTTGGGATGCAGAACTGCTATGAATGCTATCTTCATCATAATTGCTTATTCCAGGCTTGTTTAGGAGCCCAGATGGCATGGAGGCTAATGGCTTGTACTTAGAACTAAGTAAAATTTAAGTCTGATTTCTTACTCATTGAGTTCCTGCTTGCCTGTTTTGGGAGGGGTTCATCATCTCTGTGTGAGGTGGTTGGTCATGCAGAAGTCTTTAAGGAACAAAGAGACAGAAAAGGTCTCTCATCAGTCCTTCTAAACAGGCTTATATTTTGTTTTTGAGTAAGCCTGTAAAATGTATTTCATTTTTCTCCATTCTTTGATAAAAGCTGAAAATATTCAGAGGTCTCTGTAATATCAAGTGTTTGAGTAGAATTAATGACCGAAAGAGCTCAGCCCCTGATGGTTTTCATTGGAAGAATGATGTAGTTTGTAAATGACATCATCCAAAGCTCACTGAGTCCACCCAAGCACTTGATTCTTTCCATCCTCTGCGTCTAGATTGGACCAGGTCTTAGGAAATTTCACAGCCAATGGCTGCACTTCCCCATCTTCTCAATCCCCTGCCTCCAGCAGCCAGCAGGTAGTTCCATTAGGAACTGCAGTCCTCCTGTGTTGTACGTTACCTTGACAGGCACCACACATGGGCTGGTTATCTATTCATTGGCACTACCAACCTGTGCCATTAGGCACCATGGGCTGTGGGTGGCAGAGTGGGTGGTGACACTCCTTGCCACAGCTGAGGGCTGTCAGAAGGGTCACTGTGGCAATCTCGGGCTTCCCCAGGCTCAGTCAGAGACAACGTGTGGGAAGACAATGTAGCTTGTTTTCAGTTCTAACTTTTACCATTTAGGTCTTGGGGGAAACATCCTCAACTTTTGGATTTAACTTTAATGAAAAAGTTTATCAATTTGACACACTATTCATGCGTTTGACATAACTGGAAAATGGAGCTTGTCTCAGGGTTTCCATTGCTGTGACGAAAACACCATGACCAAAAAGCAGCTTAGGGAGGAAAGGGTTTATTTGGCTTACACTTTCAGATCAGAGTCCATTGTTGGAGGAAATCAGAACAGGAACTCAAGTAGTGCTGGGGCCTGGAGGCAGGAGCTGACTCAGGCCATGGAGGGGTGCTGCTTACTGGTTTGTTCCCCATGGCTTGCTCAGCCTGCTATATAGAACCCAGGATCACCAACTCAGGGATGACACTACTCACAGTGGGCTAGGGCCTCCCCTAGTGATCACTAATTGAGAAAATGCCATAGATCTCATGGAGGCATTTCCTCAAGGGAGGCTCCTTCCACTCTGATGACAAGTTTATGTCAAGTTGACACATGAAAACAGGCAGTACAAAACTTAATGCTGTTTTGTCTTCTTTTTCATAGACATGGAAGAATGAAGGGTTTTTTGCTCTATATAAAGGATTTTGGCCAAATTGGTTGCGCCTTGGTCCTTGGAATATCATTGTATCCTTTTCTGTTGTGGTTGATCTAAAAAAAGTCTGTAATTAGGTAATGTAGCTCATTTTTATTTATAAGTTATAGTGTAGAAGTAAGTTCTTGTTCTTTTGGGTTCCTCAGATCATAAGAAATAGCCACTCTATCTCTAGGAGGTGTGAGGTCTCCTCATTCAACACTGAAGCTCTTAGTTCAATGGTGTCTCTATTGAAAGGTATTGCTTTGCATTAGAATCTGCTCTAGGAGTTCAGGGCACTTGTGATTCCAGAGTGATGCAGTTGATGCATATCCTGGTATCCTGGGGAAAGATGTGAGTCTGTCAGTGTGCAAGCATGCTTACTGTAGGGTGCTTCCTGAACACGGACACGAGATACTCCAGAAGTGTTTGCTTAGCATCCAGGTGGCAGGTAAGGAGAGGCGGGTGTCATTCCTGGAGAGCCCAAGATGAAGGGTTTTGTAGGTCTCAGGTCGATCTCTCTATTCTGAATTGACCTTTGGCAACATCTGGGGAGATAGCCTGAGACTCGGCATGGAACTAAAATCGATTTGTATTCTTGGCAAGCTGCCTGTAGGTATTTGCTGGTAGATAAGCTAAGTTGTCTGTTGGGGTTGGTAATATAACATTTCTCTTGGCAGCCTTAACCTACAACCGTAGTTCTTTTTGACTTACGAACAGCTGAAGAAACTGGACTTGTGACCACACGTCACTGTTCTGACAAACCGACTTCCATGACAGTAGAACATCCTGTGCTTCTGGCTGCTTCTCAATGCACAGCTTATCACAGCTTCTGGGATGGGAGCAATGGATGAATGGGTTCTTCAGATTGCCATGCGTTGGCACTAGATGCTTTTCATCTATGTTTAGAGCCTAGAGCATAATAACATCCACTCACTGTTGGCTACCTACCATTGAAGTGCCCTTTGACATCCTAGATAATTGATGTACATATACATCTTTCTTGCTGTAGAAAACCTGCAAGGAAATCAGAACTGTGTGCTGCTGCTTTCTTCCTGGAGAGCAGCCTCGCTGCCTCTGGGCTTCTAGCTGTGAACATCAGCCGCTCTGAGAAGGCTCCTGGAGTGGTGGGGTGATGTTATCCCTCTACCATTCAGCTTTAGTTTCCTGTCAGCTGAAGAGATTTTACATTTGAACTTTTATCCCCTCGACCCTGGACAGTTGTAGCATATCACACTGCTTTCTGTTTGGGCAGAATCTTTCACTTACAGTAAGACTCGGCCTTTGTGAGGTAGCATTAACCATTTGCCCTATGATTTTTTTTCTTTTTTTTTTAGCCAAGTTTATTATTTCCATACTGATCAAATGGGGACAATCACACTTTGTGAAGTAGGGGTTAAATGAAGGATGAGTGTTTACATCTGTCAGTAAACAGTTGGCTACTATAGGGCTCTCCTGGTCCTGGGGACCAAAAGCCTTTGTTAAATAAAGAATCCTGCAGATGAAGTTTCTTTTACTTGGCTAGTGAATTCAAGAGGTGAGGCTTCAGAGTTTTAGTCTTTACTTTTGTATTGAGGTGAGTTTGTTAAAAACAAACCAACAAACCCTTTGTCAGAGATTTTCCTTGTTAATTTCCTTGAAATTTAGAAAAAAAAAAGATTTATTTTCTTCCTTCCTCTTTTCATTTTTGCGTTGCTGGGGATGAAACCCTTGTGCATTCTGGGTATCTTCGCCACACTGAGCTCCTCCCCAGCTCAAGCTGATGGCCCGAGTGCCTCTGTTCATCTCCAGTCTGATAAGAACTGCATAACCTCTTCTACCTGTTTTTGTTTCTTCTGAGGCTGTGATAAAACCTCTTACCCTTTTCAAAGCAAACACTGTCTCTAAGAGCTGTCCAGAAGGGCTCCCAGTGCCTTCAGGAGAGCCCTGTGAAAGCCTCATTAGCACTAAGGAGACTCTAAGCACGTGCGATGTCCAGTGCACTCCCTCGGGCCCCTTCCTCCTTGAAGCAGAAGCATGCAGGTTTTCTCTGAGGGATGGCTGCTTTTTCTTCCATACCTTTTCAACCTGGCTTTTTAAATTACTGGTTCCTTTGAAAAACAGTTTGCGAAGCAGAATTTTGTTTCTAAAAGTAAAAGGTAAGACAAAATCCTCACAGAGCAGAGCCATTGGTGGCTTAAAGACAACTCGCTTGCACACCATTAGATGGCAGTAGAGGATCTGAGCTGCTGGCCTGGCTCCTAGCATTATGAGTTAGAGGCTTTTTTTACTCTGACTTGAACATTCCATTGAAGTGATAGACTCCAGAGGCTTTCTCTCCAGTTGAAAAGATTGACTTTTTTCAAACCACTTTTTAACATATAAAAAAAAAAACCTTTTAAAATTAAAATTCTTTTCTTTATCCTTTCTTTCTTTTTTCTTTCTTTCCTTCTCTCTTTCATCTTTCTGTCTAATTTTTTCCCTCCAATTTTCCAAGACAGAGTTTCTCTGTGTAGTCCTGGCTCTCACTCTGTAGACCATGCCGAGCCCCAACTCAGAGATCTTCCTGCCTCTGCTTTCTGAATTCTGGTATTAAAGTGTGCACCACCACCAACTGGCCAAAACAATCAAACAAAATCCAAAACAACAATAACAACAAAACCACCTTATTTTTTTAAGTTTGAAGGTAATTTCTAAAGTACAGAGAGGTCCATTTTGAAGATCATGTAAAGAGTGGCTATCAGTATTATCAATTTATTTAAATTATGTTTTTGCCTATACCTGCATGAAAAGAAACCTACACTTAACTATAAAACTTCAGCATGTTTCAAGGCAAATTTGCAGTATTTTAAGACAAGGGTAGTGTCAATTTATGAAGTGCCTTATAGGACAGGGTCTTAGCCTGCCTTCTCTCTGGAGTTAATGTGGTTGTTCATGTTTCTAACGCAGAGACAACTTAAAGCACTTGGTGATGTGAGTGTGGCTGTAACCCCTCACCACCTATCATTTTCCTCAAGTATGGTGAAAAAACTACTTCAAATTTTTGTAGCTAAGTCAAAGGAAATTGTGTTTGTGTTGTTATTGATCTGTAACGTAAAAAATGGCTCCTGTTCTCTGTATTTATTCATGAGCTATAAAATTGTATGTATTATGTAAAGAGTATACATTTTCCACAAGCTTTTCTATTTCAAACTCTTTATACATTGTTGGACTGTGTGGCATAAACCTTGTTTCATTATTTAATAAACTGAAATAATATATGATAATATGGCTTACGATTATTTCAGATACATAGATTTGGACAAAGACCAAAAGGGTCCAGAAGGCTGGAGAAGAAACAGTATCTGTGAAAGTGATCCTGGGAGCTTTTATCTTCTGGGAGAAGTTACTGGGATCAACTCACTCTTTGCCTTGTCCTTAAGAGATGGCCTCACACCCCTAACCCCACGTCATTTTGTGAAGTACTCAACATTTACAACACCAGTCATAATCCCTCAGTCCTTCATCCAGTGCTAGGAGCTGCTAGAAGCAGGAACTTGGATCACTGATGAGCGGGACTTGCCGGGGACATTTGTTTCACCACACACAACAAAATTGAGTATAAACTTGGCTAATTAACTTTTGGATTACTTAAGGGATTGCCCAGATGTCCATTTGAGTTACATGTAATGGTTTTGTTAAGTCCTGTGTAGAAGAGGGGAACTTTGCTTGTTGATAGATACATTTCTTAGAGCTGTTAAGTTTCACAGAAAATTCAGTAAAGGTACCCATTCCTGTACTTTCCCTCCTTCCTGCATCATCAGCATCCTGATTGGAACTGATGAACCTGCACTGACGACCATGTTACCATAGCTTATCATCTTAGGGTTCACTCTTGGTGTTGTATGTTATATACATGTGTAGTGATATATATATCCACCCTTGTCACATGACCCAGTCTTATCTAGAGGCAAGATAGATGGGAAGAAACCCTTCATCCTCAGCTCTGGTTCACATTTCCTGCCATCTGTAAGTCAGGAGAGTTCAGCACAACAGATAAAACCAAGCTTGTCTACAGACAGTGCTCATTTCCTTAAGATGTTAAACTATGGACCATTCTGGATTAGGGCCAAACGGTCATGGTCTTGAGTGTAATTAAATTGGTACTGCTCTGATCTCTAAACCCAGTCTGTGTGTCCCAAAGAACCACTCTACAATTTCACTTACAGTTTTTTGTTTTGTTTTTATCATTTGTGTATGTATTTGTGTTAGTATGAAAGAGGTGCTTGTGTGCCACAGCATCCGTGCCTCTGCACAGGACAGCTTGTGGAGGTCATTTGTCTTCTTCCACACTGTGGGCTCTGGGGATTGAGTTCATGTCATCATCACCAGGCTTGGAGGCAATTTTATTCTTTCTGCTTTGTTCTGAAATTCTTTTCTCTGAGGAAGCCATCCCTTCTGCTTCCCTTCCCTGTATAGTTTAGGATCTGGCTTTACCTGAGTGGAGGTCTTTATTTAAGCAGTGGGAGACCTCGAGCTACCAAGTGACAGTGGTTAGCTGTGTTTTTTCTCCACTTCTGACAGCGTCTTTGGTCTAAGAGTGGGGGTGAGCACTTTCTTCTCTCACCTAAGAGATGGAATGCAACACTGGCCAAGGATTTAGATGTTATGGTGGAGGCACAGGCCAGGATTGATTGTTGCGCTGACTTTACATATCTTCTCTCCCTATGGTCTTTGACAATAAGACAGGGATAGCACCTGTGTCTCAGGCCCTTGAGAGCCACCCATTCTCTCCATGGCCGTGACTGCATTGCACTCCATCTGGTTACACCTTTAATATCAGATGATGCTGTTGTGCTCACTTGCTTTCGTTAGGAACCAGAGACTGACTACTGCCTTATTTAATATCCATTACCCAATGCTTAAAGACTTCTATGAACTTAGGGGTGGTCACAGCCTGAGCTTCAAGCTAGGCTCAGCCTCCTCTCCTCAATAAGCCAATTAAAAGAATCAAAACCGTCGAGGGGTGGCGGTGTTGCTCATGCCTTTAATCCCAGCACTCGGGAGGCAGAGGCAGAGGCAGAGGCAGAGGCAGGTGGATCTCTGAGTTGGAGGCTTAGCCTGATCTATAGGTCAAGTTTTAGGACAGCCATGACTACACAGAGAAACTCTTCTAAAACAAACAAACAAACAAACAGCCAGCCAGCCAAATGAGAGGGTTGGTGAGATGGCTCAGTGGGTAAAGATGTGTTGCTTCTTAACCTGTGGGTTGAAACCCTTTGGGTACTGGATATCAGATATCTTGTATCTTTATATCACAATTCATAACAGTATCAAATTACAGTTATGAAGTAGCAATGAAATAATTTTATGTTTGGGGGATTACCACAACATAAGGAACTGTATTAAAGGGTCGATGTGTCAGGAAGGTTGAGAACCATTCATACAGTGGCTCCCAGAAGTAGGTGGAAAGGTGACTATTTTTCTCCCCCAGATGGTCTAGCACAAGTCGATCTGGTCCACTGTGAAGCTGATGGCAGCTGTATGCCATGAAGCCATCATCCTTCTGAGCCAGTCTCCACAAGTACACCTAGGACCAGGACCAGGGCATTGTGGGCTCCTGTGGGACAGACTGTTGCACAGAAAGCCTTTCTACAGACCCAGGTTTCTTAGTTCAACAGCCATAGTGAACTTTCTTCAGTGTCACTACATACAAGTCTTCATGTCTCTTCCTTCCACCTTGGTTGAGGAATAATTGAGGTCCATTCGATATGCATGTGTATCTCCCGCACAATAGAAACAAGGACTTTGATCAGTTTTGGTACATGTGTATCCTTGTGAGATTACTGCCATATCAGGTAACATCTGTCACTTCAAAAGCTTCCTTGTTCCCCTAGGAAAGCCACAGATCAGGGGAGTGGATTTCATATGACATTTCACATCCCTTTACAATCCTGAGGGTGGGACCCAGGATTGTGAGCGTCTGTTTTTCTCTTAGTGCTTACAAAGCCTGGGGGCTGGGATGGATTAAAACTATTCCCGATTGCTGAGTTTGGTTTGTAGTGACTTGCTGACACTCCAAGATGGTGAGAGCAGGAAGAGATGGAGACTCTGAGATGAGACATGGCTGTTTGGAGATGTGGCCAGGTCCCAGTAGTCTGGCTGATGAATCACTTCAGTCATTCCAACAGGAACTTCCTTACTGAGGTCTTCCCAACCATGGGCTTTTAATTGAGGTGATAATATCAGACTCGAATCCCTTCCAGTGGAGTGAACCTTAATCCAATAAGAAATCAGTTGATTCTGCTCTCTTTGTTTTTTGTTGCTGTGCTAAAACACCCAGACCAAAAGCAAGTTAGGAAAAGAAAGATTTATTTAGCTCACAATTCCAGGTTACAGTCCATCACTGAAGAAAGTCAGAGCTGGAATTTAAGCAGGAACGAAAACACAGGAACCATGGAGAAATGCTGTTTGCTGGCTTGCTCATAGACCCATGCCTAGCTAGCTTTCGTATAAACCCCAGAACTTCATGCCACATAGCACAGTGGGCTGGGCTCTCCTCCATTCAATGCTGGGGAAGAGTGCTCCGAAGCTGGGCTGAGTCACTGAAAGAGTAGCCTGGCATGCTCTTTATATGATGATTATCCCGGGTATTAGTTATAGCAATGGAAGGTTAACACTTTATTGCCACAAAAGTGACTCGAAAAAAGAGAATAGAGAGGAGATGGAAGAGGGTGGGGTCCTCCAATTCGGCCAATAGGATCATATGCTGTCTCATTTTTCTTAACTATATTACAATCATTTTATTAAAAAAAAAAGTCTGCCTTCCTTCCTGCTTCCTTCCTTCTTTCTCCCCCTACCCCTCCTTTTTTTCTTCTTTGGCTTACGACAGGGTTTCTCTGTGTAGCCCTGGCTGTTCTGGAACTTACTCTGTAGACCAGACTGGCCTTGAAATCAAGAGATCCACCTACCTTTGCCCCCTGAGTGCTGGAATTAAAGGCATGTGCCCAGCTAGAACCATCTTTTCTATACCGTTAGACTTTCAATTCTTATTTTGAGGTACATTTTTTTTGACAACAGTCTCTTCTGTGGCCCTCACTAGCCTCCAACCCTCCTGCCTCAGCTGCCAAGCTGTAGAAATCCCTTTGTCTCAACCTCCTTGCCGACGCTATTACAAACATGAGCTACTGTACTCTGCTCTCTTGAGATAAATTTAGACTTCCGAAAGGCCCCAGACATTGTGCAAAGAGTTCAGGTGTGTCTTTCATTCAGCTTTCCTGATGTTATAATCTTATCTAACCATGTATTTTATCAAAGCTGGTAATTTAACATCGGCACACCACCATTGCCTAAATTACAAACTTTATTAAGATTCTATATTCTGTTCTATAGTTTCATCACAATTATCCCTTCTTCTGTTCCAGGAATCAATTCAAGATGCCACATTGCAATGAGAAGTCATTATTCATTAGTCCCCACTGTGTACCAGCTCCTTGG